CAGCAGATGTGCTGTCATCGTGAGAGCAAAATGGGCAAAGAAGTCGAAACGATACCTAGCGGGTATTAGAATATGTTTTCTATGTAATATGAACACCTTTCATGAGTCTTGCGACATACGTTCTGCATAAGATTATTTCCCAAAGTGTGGTTGGAGTACGCTCATGTTTCGTTCTCCAAAAGGCCTTATTCCAAAAAAGTATGAATACACTATGAAGTGACAATGATAAATACTCATAATTTTATTATCTGTTGCTACAACATTATCTCTTTCTACGAGAACCCCCAGACTAAACCCCTAACATATTAGTGCCAACATGTGCCTACAACCAGCTACACATTCAGGTTGCATACCTGACAGTATGCAGAGATTCTTAAATACGTATGAGGGTCATTTTTTCAAACAAGAACCGTTTTGTAATTGAGTCAGTGGAGCTTTATTTGAACGTAAATTGTATCACAAACTGAAATACGAAATTTTTTTCTATTCAACATATAGTCATTTGGGGTAACTTTGAACCATATGAACCAGTAATTGAGGTGCAGACTTGCAATTGCAGTTTGTCCATTTTACCAATTTTCACGTGAAGCAAAAAACTAGGGCGATATGCGAGTTTTTCTCGAGCAATTTATGTTTCCATACATATGGTGAAATGCGTCTACCCCCCTTTTGTCTGGTTGTAACGCAAGATAATTACAGTTTTTTGGGTTCAGCAATTTCAGTGGGAATTTCCAGTTTATTTTGTCTCAACGTTCCAATAATTGTTATATGGTTATATGGTGGAATCATTAGCTAGATTAACAGAAGCAATATTGTGGTTATTTCCATGTACATATTTAGTGGTAGCTGCTTTGAACATCAAATATGACTTATCAAAGGGCAGACTCCCTTGTATTCCGAGATTCGTCTTGTTTTCAATCGGGATACGCAGTTATTGAGAAAACACAACGGCTATAACTTTTAAACTCAAAAATCGAAGAGTTAGATTATAAATAATTGTATCATGGATTTTCGTTTGGACGTTGTATTTGTGATCACTGAATAAACAATAAATGTAAGATATTGTTTCATTTACATTTAGGATACGTATTTCGTAGGAAATGGACAGTTCTTTGGATTCCAGCATACTGGTCGTTTGAATTTTGGAGGCTTTGATGTGACATCGTTGACTTGGTTTGCGAATTGGATGATCTGATTTGGTGACAGTAGATCTTACGGTGTTGTTTTTCCCCGGTGTTTTTAAGGAATTTCTTGTGTATCTGGCCTAGGAGGATTGCTCCAATATTTTATAGCATATGCGATATAAGCGAGGAAGTCTTACAGTTTGTTACAGCATGATACTACATAAAACACAAAGTCCAGGACAAAATCATGAAGAATTAAGGGAGTTTTCAAACATTCTGCATGTTGAAATAAATCATAACAAAAAACCCTCCAAGATTCAGTGGTTTCTAAAAAAAGAAACCAGCCCTAATAAAAATTCCTGTAGAACATGATTAGTAATGCCGAGGCTAGTGAAACAGACATTCAAGATAGTCTCGAAGGATGAGAAAACACCTTATACTTGACCTTTAGTGAAACGCCGCCTTAACAATTATATTGAGAATATATATGAAATGTACTCCAAAGGATTATTCCGAATATCAATAGGAATCATTTTTAAACATCAGCAAGCAGTAGAAGTGCTGACATCGTGAGAGCAAAGTGGGCAATGGAGAAGAACTTTCCATGCTATGATCGCTGGTGCTTACTTCTAATGTGCAAAAGGCTAAGTGTATTGTATTTGAACGAGCACGAATGTACCCTGAACTGATAGTTTGGTGGGAATGGGGAGCGAGCAATCGTAACCCCCGTTCTCGGCCAAATGCGATACCTTGGCTTCATATCTCGGTAATATTGCAAATAAAGACAGCCCCAATAACAATTCCAGAAAATGGAAACAAAGTACTGGACAAACTGATCTGTAAACTTGAAGGTCGTGAAACAGCAGGAGGCCTCTAAGGATGAGAAAACTGTATCACGTTCGTACACTTCAGTGAGCGACGCCTCGTGAATTATAGTAGCAATCATATCTGCTGGTAACATTAATATAATGGGTAAATTTTTCAACATCATCAAGCAGCAGATGTGCTGTCATCGTGAGAGCAAAATGGGCAAAGAAGTCGAAACAATACCTAGCGGGTATTGGAATATGTTTTATGTAATATGAACACCTTTCATGAGTCTTGCGACATACGTTCTGCATAAGATTATTTCCCCAAAGTGTGGATTGGAGTACGCTCATGTTTCGTTCTCCAAAAGGCCTTATTCCAAAAAAGTATGAATACAGTATGAAGTGACAATGATTAAAATACTCATGTTTATGGTAGCTAGTCTACGTTGAGTCTGGTGTCTTCTAAAGATTCCGTGCACGGTTTCGACGAATCACCATATTTGGATATATACTTAGCTTGGGTCAAGAATGTTTCTAGTATTATGTGCACAGACGTTGTAGTCAAACAGAATCTTTCTTAATTTTTATTATCTGTTGCTACAACATTATCTCTTTCTACGAGAATCCCCAGACTAAACCCCTAACATATTAGTGCCAACATGTGCCTACAACCAGCTACACATTCAGGTTGCATACCTGACAGTATGCAGAGATTCTTAGATACGTATGAGGGTCATTTTTTCAAACAAGAACCGTTTTGTAATTGAGTCAGTGGAGCTTTATTTATGAACGTAAATTGTATCACAAACTGAAATACGAACATTTTTTTCTATTCAACATATAGTCACTTGGGGTAACTTTGAACCATATGAACCAGTAATTGAGGTGCAGACTTGCAAATTGCAGTTTGTCCATTTTTACCAATTGTCACGAGAAGCAAAAAACTAGGGCGATATGCGAGTTTTTCTCGAGCAATTTCTGTTTTCCATACATATGGTGAAATGCGTCTACCCCTCCTTTTGTCTGGTTGTAACGCAAGATAATTACAGTTTTTTGGGTTCAGAATTTCAGTGGGAATTTCCAGTTTATTTTGTCTCAACGTTCCAATAATTGTTATATGGTTATATGGTGGAATCATTAGCTAGATTAACAGAAGCAATATTGTGGTTATTTCCATGTACATATTTAGTGGTAGCTGCTTTGAACATCAACATATGACTTATCAAAGGGCAGACTCCCTTGTATTCCGAGATTCGTCTTGTTTTCAATCGGGATACGCAGTTATTGAGAAAACACAACGGCTATAACTTTTAAACTCAAAAATCGAAGAGTTAGATTATAAATAATTGTATCATGGATTTTCGTTTGCACGTTGTATTTGTGATCACTGAATAAACAATAAATGTAAGATATTGGTTTCATTTACATTTAGGATACGTATTTCGTAGGAAATGGACAGTTCTTTGGATTCCAGCATACTGGTCGTTTGAATTTTGGAGGCTTTGATGTGACATCGTTGACTTGGTTTGCGAATTGGATGATCTGATTTGGTGACAGTAGATCTTACGGTGTGTTTTTCCCGGTGTTTTTAAGGAATTTCTTGTGTATCTGGCCTAGGAGGATTGCTCCAATATTTTATAGCATATGCGATATAAGCGAGGAAGTCTTACAGTTTGTTACAGCATGATACTACATAAAACACAAAGTCCAGGACAAAAATCATGAAGAATTAAGGGAGTTTTCAAACATTATGCAGGTTGAAATAAATCATAACAAAAAACCCTCCAAGATTCAGTGGTTTCTAAAAAAAGAAACCAGCCCTAATAAAAATTCCTGCAGAACATGGTTAGTAATGCCGAGGCTAGTGAAACGGACATTCAAGATAGTCTCGAAGGATGAGAAAACACCTTATACTTGACCTTTAGTGAAACGCCGCCTTAACAATTATATTGAGAATATATATGAAATGTACTCCAAAGGATTATTCCGAATATCAATAGAATCATTTTTAAACATCAGCAAGCAGTAGAAGTGCTGACATCGTGAGAGCAAAGTGGGCAATGGAGAAGAACTTTCCATGCTATGATCGCTGGTGCTTACTTCTAATGTGCAAAAGGCTTTGTACGAGCACGAATGTACCCTGAACTGATAGTTTGGTGGGAATGGGGAGCGAGCAATCGTAACCCCCGTTTTCGGCCAAATGCGATACCGGCTTCATATCTCGGTAATATTGCAAATAAAGACAGCCCCAATAACAATTCCAGAAAATGGAAACAAAGTACTGGACAAACTGATTTGTAAACTTGAAGGTCGTGAAACAGCAGGAGGCCTCTAAGGATGAGAAAACTGTATCACGTTCGTACACTTCAGTGAGCGACGCCTCGTGAATTATAGTAGCAATCATATCTGCTGGTAACATTAATATAATGGGTAAATTTTCCAACATCATCAAGCAGCAGATGTGCTGTCATCGTGAGAGCAAAATGGGCAAAGAAGTCGAAACAATACCTAGCGGGTATTAGAATAAGTTTTCTATGTAATATGAACACCTTTCATGAGTCTTGCGACATACGTTCTGCATAAGATTATTTCCCCAAAGTGTGGATTGGAGTACGCTCATGTTTCGTTCTCCAAAAGGCCTTATTCCAAAAAAGTATGAATACAGTATGAAGTGACAATGATTAAAATACTCATGTTTATGGTAGCTAGTCTACGTTGAGTCTGGGTGTCTTCTAAAGATTCCGTGCACGGTTTCGACGAATCACCATATTTGGATATATACTTAGCTTGGGTCAAGAATGTTTCTAGTATTATGTGCACAGACGTTGTAGTCAAACAGAATCTTTCTTAATTTTTATTATCTGTTGCTACAACATTATCTCTTTCTACGAGAACCCCCAGACTAAACCCCTAACATATTAGTGCCAACATGTGCCTACAACCAGCTACACATTCAGGTTGCATACCAGAGATTCTTAGATACGTATGAGGGTCATTTTTGCAAACAAGAACCGTTGTGTAATTGAGTCAGTGGAGCTTTATTTATGAACGTAAATTGTATCACAAACTGAAATACGAACATTTTTTCTATTCAACATATAGTCATTTGGGGTAACTTTGAACCATATGAACCAGTAATTGAGGTGCAGACTTGCAAATTGCAGTTTGTCCATTTTTACCAATTTTCACGAGAAGCAAAAAACTAGGGCGATATGCGAGTTTTTCTCGAGCAATTTCTGTTTCCATACATATGGTGAAATGCGTCTACCCCTCCTTTTGTCTGGTTGTAACGCAAGATAATTACAGTTTTTGGGTTCAGAATTTCAGTGGGAATTTCCAGTTTATTTTGTCTCAACGTTCCAATAATTGTTATATGGTTATATGGTGGAATCATTAGCTAGATTAACAGAAGCAATATTGTGGTTATTTCCATGTACATATTTAGTGGTAGCTGCTTTGAACATCAAAATATGACTTATCAAAGGGCAGACTCCCTTGTATTCCGAGATTCGTCTTGTTTTCAATCGGGATACGCAGTTATTGAGAAAACACAACGGCTATAACTTTTAAACTCAAAATCGAAGAGTTAGATTATAAATAATTGTATCATGGATTTTCGTTTGCACGTTGTATTTGTGATCACTGAATAAACAATAAATGTAAGATATTGGTTTCATTTACATTTAGGATACGTATTTCGTAGGAAATGGACAGTTCTTTGGATTCCAGCATACTGGTCGTTTGAATTTTGGAGGCTTTGATGTGACATCGTTGACTTGGTTTGCGAATTGGATGATCTGATTTGGTGACAGTAGATCTTACGGTGTTGTTTTTCCCGGTGTTTTTAAGGAATTTCTTGTGTATCTGGCCTAGGAGGATTGCTCCAATATTTTTATATCATATGCGATATAAGCGAGGAAGTCTTACAGTTTGTTACAGCATGATACTACATAAAACACAAAGTCCAGGACAAAAATCATGAAGAATTAAGGGAGTTTTCAAACATTATGCAGGTTGAAATAAATCATAACAAAAAACCCTCCAAGATTCAGTGGTTTCTAAAAAAAGAAACCAGCCCTAATAAAATTCCTGCAGAACATGGTTAGTAATGCCGAGGCTAGTGAAACGGACATTCAAGATAGTCTCGAAGGATGAGAAAACACCTTATACTTGACCTTTAGTGAAACGCCGCCTTAACAATTATATTGAGAATATATATGAAATGTACTCCAAAGGATTATTCCGAATATCAATAGAATCATTTTAAACATCAGCAAGCAGTAGAAGTGCTGACATCGTGAGAGCAAAGTGGGCAATGGAGAAGAACTTTCCATGCTATGATCGCTGGTGCTTACTTCTAATGTGCAAAAGGCTTTGAACGAGCACGAATGTACCTGAACTGATAGTTTGGTGGGAATGGGGAGCGAGCAATCGTAACCCCCGTTTTCGGCCAAATGCGATACCTTGGCTTCATATCTCGGTAATATTGCAAATAAAGACAGCCCCAATAACAATTCCAGAAAATGGAAACAAAGTACTGGACAAACTGATTTGTAAACTTGAAGGTCGTGAAACAGCAGGAGGCCTCTAAGGATGAGGAAAACTGTATCACGTTCGTACACTTCAGTGAGCGACGCCTCGTGAATTATAGTAGCAATCATATCTGCTGGTAAGATTAATATAATGGGTAAATTTTCCAACATCATCAAGCAGCAGATGTGCTGTCATCGTGAGAGCAAAATGGGCAAAGAAGTCGAACAATACCTAGCGGGTATTAGAATATGTTTTCTATGTAATATGAACACCTTTCATGAGTCTTGCGACATACGTTCTGCATAAGATTATTTCCCCAAAGTGTGGATTGGAGTACGCTCATGTTTCGTTCTCCAAAAGGCCTTATTCCAAAAAAGTATGAATACAGTATGAAGTGACAATGATTAAAATACTCATGTTTATGGTAGCTAGTCTACGTTGAGTCTGGGTGTCTTCTAAAGATTCCGTGCACGGTTTCGACGAATTACCATATTTGGATATATACTTAGCTTGGGTCAAGAATGTTTCTAGTATTATGTGCACAGACGTTGTAGTCAAACAGAATCTTTCTTAATTTTTATTATCTGTTGCTACAACATTATCTCTTTCTACGAGAACCCCCAGACTAAACCCCTAACATATTAGTGCCAACATGTGCCTACAACCAGCTACACATTCAGGTTGTATACCAGAGATTCTTAGATACGTATGAGGGTCATTTTTTCAAATAAGAACCGTTTTGTAATTGAGTCAGTGGAGCTTTATTTATGAACGTAAATTGTATCACAAACTGAAATACGAACATTTTTTTCTATTCAACATATAGTCATTTGGGGTAACTTTGAACCATATGAACCAGTAATTGAGGCGCAGACTTGCAAATTGCAGTTTGTCCATTTTTACCAATTTTCACGAGAAGCAAAAAACTAGGGCGATATGCGAGTTTTTCTCGAGCAATTTCTGTTTCCATACATATGGTGAAATGCGTCTACCCCTCCTTTTGTCTGGTTGTAACGCAAGATAATTACAGTTTTTTGGGTTCAGAATTTCAGTGGGAATTTCCAGTTTATTTGTCTCAACGTTCCAATAATTGTTATATGGTTATATGGTGGAATCATTAGCTAGATTAACAGAAGCAATATTGTGGTTATTTCCATGTACATATTTAGTGGTAGCTGCTTTGAACATCAAAATATGACTTATCAAAGGGCAGACTCCCTTGTATTCCGAGATTCGTCTTGTTTTCAATCGGGATACGCAGTTATTGAGAAAACACAACGGCTATAACTTTTAAACTCAAAAATCGAAGAGTTAGATTATAAATAATTGTATCATGGATTTTCGTTTGGACGTTGTATTTGTGATCACTGAATAAACAATAAATGTAAGATATTTATTTCATTTACATTTAGGATACGTATTTCGTAGGAAATGGACAGTTCTTTGGATTCCAACATACTGGTCGTTTGAATTTTGGAGGCTTTGATGTGACATCGTTGACTTGGTTTGCGAATTGGATGATCTGATTTGGTGACAGTAGATCTTACGGTCTTGTTTTTCCCGGTGTTTTTAAGGAATTCTTGTGTATCTGGCTTAGGAGGATTGCTCCAATATTTTTATAGCATATGCGATATAAGCGAGGAAGTTTTACAGTTTGTTACAGCATGATACTACATAAAACACAAAGTCCAGGACAAAAATCATGAAGAATTAAGGGAGTTTTCAAACATTCTGCAGGTTGAAATAAATCATAACAAAAAACCCTCCAAGATTCAGTGGTTTCTAAAAAAAGAAACCAGCCCTAATAAAAATTCCTGTAGAACATGGTTAGTAATGCCGAGGCTAGTGAAACGGACATTCAAGATAGTCTCGAAGGATGAGAAAACACCTTATACTTGACCTTCAGTGAAACGCCGCCTTAACAATTATATTGAGAATATATATGAAATGTACTCCAAAGGATTATTCCGAATATCAATAGAATCATTTTTAAACATCAGCAAGCAGTAGAAGTGCTGACATCGTGAGAGCAAAGTGGGCAATGGAGAAGAACTTTCGATGCTATGATCGCTGGTGCTTACTTCTAATGTGCAAAAGGCTAAGTGTATTGTATTTGAACGAGCACGAATGTACCCTGAACTGATAGTTTGGTGGGAATGGGGAGCGAGCAATCGTAACCCCCGTTCTCGGCCAAATGCGATACCTTGGCTTCATATCTCGGTAATATTGCAAATAAAGACAGCCCCAATAACAATTCCAGAAAATGGAAACAAAGTACTGGACAAACTGATTTGTAAACTTGAAGGTCGTGAAACAGCAGGAGGCCTCTAAGGATGAGAAAACTGTATCACGTTCGTACACTTCAGTGAGCGACGCCTCGTGAATTATAGTAGCAATCATATCTGCTGGTAACATTAATATAATGGGTAAATTTTCCAACATCATCAAGCAGCAGATGTGCTGTCATCGTGAGAGCAAAATGGGCAAAGAAGTCGAAACGATACCTAGCGGGTATTAGAATATGATTTCTATGTAATATGAACACCTTTCATGAGTCTTGCGACATACGTTCTGCATAAGATTATTTCCCCAAAGTGTGGATTGGAGTACGCTCATGTTTCGTTCTCCAAAAGGTCTTATTCCAAAAAAGTATGAATACAGTATGAAGTGACAATGATTAAAATACTCATGTTTATGGTAGCTAGTCTACGTTGAGTCTGGGTGTCTTCTAAAGATTCCGTGCACGGTTTCGACGAATCACCATATTTGGATATATACTTAGCTTGGGTAAAGAATGTTTCTAGTATTATGTGCACAGACGTTGTAGTCAAACAGAATCTTTCTTAATTTTTATTATCTGTTGCTACAACATTATCTCTTTCTACGAGAATCCCCAGACTAAACCCCTAACATATTAGTGCCAACATGTGACTACAACCAGCTACACATTCAGGTTGCATACCTGACAGTATGCAGAGATTCTTAGATACGTATGAGGGTCATTTTTTCAAATAAGAACCGTTTTGTAATTGAGTCAGTGGAGCTTTATTTATGAACGTAAATTGTATCACAAACTGAAATACGAACATTTTTTTCTATTCAACATATAGTCATTTGGGGTAACTTTGAACCATATGAACCAGTAATTGAGGCGCAGACTTGCAAATTGCAGTTTGTCCATTTTTACCAATTTTCACGAGAAGCAAAAAACTAGGGCGATATGCGAGTTTTTCTCGAGCAATTTCTGTTTCCATACATATGGTGAAATGCGTCTACCCCTCCTTTGTCTGGTTGTAACGCAAGATAATTACAGTTTTTTGGGTTCAGAATTTCAGTGGGAATTTCCAGTTTATTTTGTCTCAACGTTCCAATAATTGTTATATGGTTATATGGTGGAATCATTAGCTAGATTAACAGAAGCAATATTGTGGTTATTTCCATGTACATATTTAGTGGTAGCTGCTTTGAACATCAAAATATGACTTATCAAAGGGCAGACTCCCTTGTATTCCGAAATTCGTCTTGTTTTCGATCGGGAGACGCAGTTATTGAGAAAACACAACGGCTATAACTTTTAAACTCAAAAATCGAAGAGTTAGATTATAATAATTGTATCAAGGATTTTCGTTTGGACGTTGTATTTGCGATCACTGAATAAACAATAAATGTAAGATATTGGTTTCATTTACATTTAGGATACGTATTTCGTAGGAAATGGACAGTTCTTTGGATTCCAGCATACTGGTCGTTTGAATTTTGGAGGCTTTGATGTGACATCGTTGACTTGGTTTGCGAATTGGATGATCTGATTTGGTGACAGTAGATCTTACGGTGTTGTTTTTTCCCGGTGTTTTAAGGAATTTCTTGTGTATCTGGCCTAGGAGGATTGCTCCAATATTTTTATAGCATATGCGATATAAGCGAGGAAGTCTTACAGTTTGTTACAGCATGATACTACATAAAACACAAAGTCCAGGACAAAAATCATCAAGAATTAAGGGAGTTTTCAAACATTCTGCATGTTGAAATAAATCATAACAAAAAACCCTCCAAGATTCAGTGGTTTCTAAAAAAAGAAACCAGCCCCAATAAAAATTCCTGTAGAACCTGGTTAGTAATGCCTAGGCTAGTGAAACAGACATTCAAGATAGTCTCGAAGGATGAGAAAACACCTTATACTTGAACTTTAGTGAAACGGCGCCTTAACAATTATATTGAGAATATATATGAAATGTACTCCAAAGGATTATTCCGAATATCAATAGAATCATTTTTAAACATCAGCAAGCAGTAGAAGTGCTGACATCGTGAGAGCAAAGTGGGCAATGGAGAAGAACTTTCGATGCTATGATCGCTGGTGCTTACTTCTAATGTGCAAAAGGCTAAGTGTATTGTATTTGAACGAGCACGAATGTACCCTGAACTGATAGTTTGGTGGGAATGGGGAGCGAGCAATCGTAACCCCCGTTCTCGGCCAAATGCGATACCTTGGCTTCATATCTCGGTAATATTGCAAATAAAGACAGACCCAATAACAATTCCAGAAAATGGAAACAAAGTACTGGACAAACTGATTTGTAAACCTGAAGGTCGTGAAACAGCAGGAGGTCTCTAAGGATGAGAAAACTGTATCACGTTCGTACACTTTAGTGAGCGACGCCTCGTGAATTATAGTAGCAATCATATCTGCTGGTAACATTAATATAATGGGTAAATTTTCCAACATCATCAAGCAGCAGATGTGCTGTCATCGTGAGAGCAAAATGGGCAAAGAAGTCGAAACGATACCTAGCGGGTATTAGAATATGTTTTCTATGTAATATGAACACCTTTCATGAGTCTTGCGACATACGTTCTGCATAAGATTATTATTTCCCCAAAGTGTGGATTGGAGTACGCTCATGTTTCGTTCTCCAAAAGGCCTTATTCCAAAAAAGTATGAATACACTATGAAGTGACAATGATTAAAATACTCATAATTTTTATTATCTGTTGCTACAACATTATCTCTTTCTACGAGAATCCCCAGACTAAACCCCTAACATATTAGTGCCAACATGTGACTACAACCAGCTACACATTCAGGTTGCATACCTGACAGTATGCAGAGATTCTTAGATACGTATGAGGGTCATTTTTTCAAACAAGAACCGTTTTGTAATTAAGTCAGTGGAGCTTTATTTATGAACGTAAATTGTATCACAAACTGAAATACGAATATTTTTTTCTATTCAACATATAGTCATTTGGGGTAACTTTGAACCATATGAACCAGTAATTGAGGCGCAGACTTGCAAATTGCAGTTTGTCCATTTTTACCAATTTTCACGAGAAGCAAAAAACTAGGGCGATATGCGAGTTTTTCTCGAGCAATTTCTGTTTCCATACATATGGTGAAATGCGTCTACCCCTCCTTTTGTCTGGTTGAAACGCAAGATAATTACAGTTTTTTGGGTTCAGAATTTCAGTGGGAATTTCCAGTTTATTTTGTCTCAACGTTCCAATAATTGTTATATGGTTATATGGTGGAATCATTAGCTAGATTAACAGAAGCAATATTGTGGTTATTTCCATGTACATATTTAGTGGTAGCTGCTTTGAACATCAAAATATGACTTATCCCTTGTATTCCGAGATTCGTCTTGTTTTCGATCGGGATACGCAGTTATTGAGAAAACACAACGGCTATAACTTTTAAACTCAAAAATCTAAGAGTTAGATTATAAATAATTGTATCATGGATTTTCGTTTGGACGTTGTATTTGTGATCACTGAATAAACAATAAATGTAAGATATTGTTTCATTTACATTTAGGATACGTATTTCGTAGGAAATGGACAGTTCTTTGGATTCCAGCATACTGGTCGTTTGAATTTTGGAGGCTTTGATGTGACATCGTTGACTTGGTTTGCGAATTGGATGATCTGATTTGGTGACAGTAGATCTTACGGTGTTGTTTTTCCCGGTGTTTTTAAGGAATTTCTTGTGTATCTGGCCTAGGAGGATTGCTCCAATATTTTTATAGCATATGCGATATAAGCGAGGAAGTCTTACAGTTTGTTACAGCATGATACTACATAAAACACAAAGTCCAGGACAAATATCATGAAGAATTAAGGGAGTTTTCAAAAATTCTGCAGGTTGAAATAAATCATAACAAAAAACCCTCCAAGATTCAGTGGTTTCTAAAAAAAGAAACCAGCCCTAATAAAAATTCCTGTAGAACCTGGTTAGTAATGCCGAGGCTAGTGAAACAGACATTCAAGATAGTCTCGAAGGATGAGAAAACACCTTATACTTGACCTTTAGTGAAACGCCGCCTTAACAATTATATTGAGAATATATATGAAATGTACTCCAAAGGATTATTCCGAATATCAATAGAATCATTTTTAAACATCAGCAAGCAGTAGAAGTGCTGACATCGTGAGAGCAAAGTGGGCAATGGAGAAGAACTTTCCATGCTATGATCGCTGGTGCTTACTTCTAATGTGCAAAAGGCTAAGTGTATTGTATTTGAACGAGCACGAATGTACCCTGAACTGATAGTTTGGTGGGAATGGGGAGCGAGCAATCGTAACCCCCGTTCTCGGCCAAATGCGATACCTTGGCTTCATATCTCGGTAATATTGCAAATAAAGACAGCCCCAATAACAATTCCAGAAAATGGAAACAAAGTACTGGACAAACTGATTTGTAAACTTGAAGGTCGTGAAGCAGCAGGAGGCCTCTAAGGATGAGAAAACTGTATCACGTTCGTACACTTCAGTGAGCGACGCCTCGTGAATTATAGTAGCAATCATATTTGCTGGTAACATTAATATAATGGGTAAATTTTCCAACATCATCAAGTAGCAGATGTGCTGTCATCGTGAGAGCAAAATGGGCAAAGAAGTCGAAACGATACCTAGCGGGTATTAGAATATGTTTTCTATGTAATACGAACACCTTTCATGAGTCTTGCGACATACGTTCTGCATAAGATTATTTCCCCAAAGTGTGGATTGGAGTACGCTCATGTTTCGTTCTCCAAAAGGTCTTATTCCAAAAAAGTATGAATACAGTATGAAGTGACAATGATTAAAATACTCATGTTTATGGTAGCTAGTCTACGTGTTGAGTCTCGGTGTCTTCTAAAGATTCCGTGCACGGTTTCGACGAATCACCATATTTGGATATATACTTAGCTTGGGTAAAGAATGTTTCTAGTATTATGTGCACAGACGTTGTAGTCAAACAGAATCTTTCTTAATTTTTATTATCTGTTGCTACAACATTATCTCTTTCTACGAGAACCCCCAGACTAAACCCCTAACATATTAGTGCCAACATGTGCCTACAACCAGCTACACATTCAGGTTGCATACCTGACAGTATGCAGAGATTCTTAAATACGTATGAGGGTCATTTTTTCAAACAAGAACCGTTTTGTAATTGAGTCAGTGGAGCTTTATTTGTGAACGTAAATTGTATCACAAACTGAAATACGAACATTTTTTTCTATTCAACATATAGTCATTTGGGGTAACTTTGAACCATATGAACCAGTAATTGAGGTGCAGACTTGCAAATTGCAGTTTGTCCATTTTTACCAATTTTCACGTGAAGCAAAAAACTAGGGCGATATGCGAGTTTTTCTCGAGCAATTTATGTTTCCATACATATGGTGAAATGCGTCTACCCCTCCTTTTGTCTGGTTGTAACGCAAGATAATTACAGTTTTTTGGGTTCAGCATTTCAGTGGGAATTTCCAGTTTATTTTGTCTCAACGTTCCAATAATTGTTATATGGTTATATGGTGGAATCATTAGCTAGATTAACAGAAGCAATATTGTGGTTATTTCCATGTACATATTTAGTGGTAGCTGCTTTGAACATCAAAATATGACTTATCAAAGGGCAGACTCCCTTGTATTCCGAGATTCGTCTTGTTTTCAATCGGGATACGCAGTTATTGAGAAAACACAACGGCTATAACTTTTAAACTCAAAAATCGAAGAGTTAGATTATAAATAATTGTATCATGGATTTTCGTTTGGACGTTGTATTTGTGATCACTGAATAAACAATAAATGTAAGATATTGGTTTCATTTACATTTAGGATACGTATTTCGTAGGAAATGGACAGTTCTTTGGATTCCAGCATACTGGTCGTTTGAATTTTGGAGGCTTTGATGTGACATCGTTGACTTGGTTTGCGAATTGGATGATCTGATTTGGTGACAGTAGATCTTACGGTGTTGTTTTTCCCGGTGTTTTTAAGGAATTTCTTGTGTATCTGGCCTAGGAGGATTGCTCCAATATTTTTATAGCATATGCGATATAAGTGAGGAAGTCTTACAGCTTGTTACAGCATGATACTACATAAAACACAAAGTCCAGGACAAAAATCATGAAGAATTAAGGGAGTTTTCAAACATTCTGCATGTTGAAATAAATCATAACAAAAAAACCCTCCAAGATTCAGTGGTTTCTAAAAAAAGAAACCAGCCCTAATAAAAATTCCTGTAGAACATGATTAGTAATGCCGAGGCTAGTGAAACAGACATTCAAGATAGTCTCGAAGGATGAGAAAACACCTTATACTTGACCTTTAGTGAAACGCCGCCTTAACAATTATATTGAGAATATATATGAAATGTACTCCAAAGGATTATTCCGAATATCAATAGGATCATTTTTAAACATCAGCAAGCAGTAGAAGTGCTGACATCGTGAGAGCAAAGTGGGCAATGGAGAAGAACTTTCCATGCTATGATCGCTGGTGCTTACTTCTAATGTGCAAAAGGCTAAGTGTATTGTATTTGAACGAGCACGAATGTACCCTGAACTGATAGTTTGGTGGGAATGGGGAGCGAGCAATCGTAACCCCCGTTCTCGGCCAAATGCGATACCTTGGCTTCATATCTCGGTAATATTGCAAATAAAGACAGCCCCAATAACAATTCCAGAAAATGGAAACAAAGTACTGGACAAACTGATCTGTAAACTTGAAGGTCGTGAAACAGCAGGAGGCCTCTAAGGATGAGAAAACTGTATCACGTTCGTACACTTCAGTGAGCGACGCCTCGTGAATTATAGTAGCAATCATATCTGCTGGTAACATTAATATAATGGGTAAATTTTTCAACATCATCAAGCAGCAGATGTGCTGTCATCGTGAAAGCAAAATGGGCAAAGAAGTCGAAACAATACCTAGCGGGTATTGGAATATGTTTTCTATGTAATATGAACACCTTTCATGAGTCTTGCGACATACGTTCTGCATAAGATTATTTCCCCAAAGTGTGGATTGGAGTACGCTCATGTTTCGTTCTCCAAAAGGCCTTATTCCAAAAAAGTACGAATACAGTATGAAGTGACAATGATTAAAATACTCATGTTTATGGTAGCTAGTCTACGTTGAGTCTGGGTGTCTTCTAAAGATTCCGTGCACGGTTTCGACGAATCACCATATTTGGATATATACTTAGCTTGGGTCAAGAATGTTTCTAGTATTATGTGCACAGACGTTGTAGTCAAACAGAATCTTTCTTAATTTTTATTATCTGTTGCTACAACATTATCTCTTTCTACGAGAATCCCCAGACTAAACCCCTAACATATTAGTGCCAACATGTGCCTACAACCAGCTACACATTCAGGTTGCATACCTGACAGTATGCAGAGATTCTTAGATACGTATGAGGGTCATTTTTTCAAACAAGAACCGTTTTGTAATTGAGTCAGTGGAGCTTTATTTATGAACGTAAATTGTATCACAAACTGAAATACGAACATTTTTTTCTATTCAACATATAGTCACTTGGGGTAACTTTGAACCATATGAACCAGTAATTGAGGTGCAGACTTGCAAATTGCAGTTTGTCCATTTTTACCAATTGACACGAGAAGCAAAAAACTAGGGCGATATGCGAGTTTTTCTCGAGCAATTTCTGTTTCCATACATATGGTGAAATGCGTCTACCCCTCCTTTTGTCTGGTTGTAACGCAAGATAATTACAGTTTTTTGGGTTCAGAATTTCAGTGGGAATTTCCAGTTTATTTTGTCTCAACGTTCCAATAATTGTTATATGGTTATATGGTGGAATCATTAGCTAGATTAACAGAAGCAATATTGTGGTTATTTCCATGTACATATTTAGTGGTAGCTGCTTTGAACATCAACATATGACTTATCAAAGGGCAGACTCCCTTGTATTCCGAGATTCGTCTTGTTTTCAATCGGGATACGCAGTTATTGAGAAAACACAACGGCTATAACTTTTAAACTCAAAAATCGAAGAGTTAGATTATAAATAATTGTATCATGGATTTTCGTTTGCACGTTGTATTTGTGATCACTGAATAAACAATAAATGTAAGATATTGGTTTCATTTACATTTAGGATACGTATTTCGTAGGAAATGGACAGTTCTTTGAATTCCAGCATACTGGTCGTTTGAATTTTGGAGGCTTTGATGTGACATCGTTGACTTGGTTTGCGAATTGGATGATCTGATTTGGTGACAGTAGATCTTACGGTGTTGTTTTTCCCGGTGTTTTTAAGGAATTTCTTGTGTATCTGGCCTAGGAGGATTGCTCCAATATTTTTATAGCATATGCGATATAAGCGAGGAAGTCTTACAGTTTGTTACAGCATGATACTACATAAAACACAAAGTCCAGGACAAAAATCATGAAGAATTAAGGGAGTTTTCAAACATTATGCAGGTTGAAATAAATCATAACAAAAAACCCTCCAAGATTCAGTGGTTTCTAAAAAAAGAAACCAGCCCTAATAAAAATTCCTGCAGAACATGGTTAGTAATGCCGAGGCTAGTGAAACGGACATTCAAGATAGTCTCGAAGGATGAGAAAACACCTTATACTTGACCTTTAGTGAAACGCCGCCTTAACAATTATATTGAGAATATATATGAAATGTACTCCAAAGGATTATTCCGAATATCAATAGAATCATTTTTAAACATCAGCAAGCAGTAGAAGTGCTGACATCGTGAGAGCAAAGTGGGCAATGGAGAAGAACTTTCCATGCTATGATCGCTGGTGCTTACTTCTAATGTGCAAAAGGCTAAGTGTATTGTATTTGAACGAGCACGAATGTACCCTGAACTGATAGTTTGGTGGGAATGGGGAGCGAGCAATCGTAACCCCCGTTTTCGGCCAAATGCGATACCTTGGCTTCATATCTCGGTAATATTGCAAATAAAGACAGCCCCAATAACAATTCCAGAAAATGGAAACAAAGTACTGGACAAACTGATTTGTAAACTTGAAGGTCGTGAAACAGCAGGAGGCCTCTAAGGATGAGAAAACTGTATCACGTTCGTACACTTCAGTGAGCGACGCCTCGTGAATTATAGTAGCAATCATATCTGCTGGTAACATTAATATAATGGGTAAATTTTCCAACATCATCAAGCAGCAGATGTGCTGTCATCGTGAGAGCAAAATGGGCAAAGAAGTCGAAACAATACCTAGCGGGTATTAGAATATGTTTTCTATGTAATATGAACACCTTTCATGAGTCTTGCGACATACGTTCTGCATAAGATTATTTCCCCAAAGTGTGGATTGGAGTACGCTCATGTTTCGTTCTCCAAAAGGCCTTATTCCAAAAAAGTATGAATACAGTATGAAGTGACAATGATTAAAATACTCATGTTTATGGTAGCTAGTCTACGTTGAGTCTGGGTGTCTTCTAAAGATTCCGTGCACGGTTTCGACGAATCA